CCGCCGCCCCCCACTGCCAAACCGCCGCCGCCGCAACCGCTGCCGCTACAGCCGTTGCCGCCTCCGCCGCTGTCGCCGCTGGCGCCGCCGCCTCCGCCGCCGCCGCCGCGCCGCCGGCGCCGCCGCCCCCGCCCGCCGCCGCCGCCGCCGCCGCCGCCGCAGCAGCCGCCACAGCCGCCGCCGCCGCCGCAGCCGCCGCAGCCGCCGCCGCCGCCGCCGCCAAGTGTACTCTGTATGGTTTTTTGACGGATGACGGGGGGAGGCCGCGTCGGGTTTGCTGCGCATGCTCCGAATTTGGAGGCATCATGTGTTTTTTTTTGTTTTTTTTTTCTCTGGAGATGGTGGGGGGGTGCCGTCATGGTTCCTGGTTGGCTACCGGTCGCCTGGGGGAGGGTGTGTTTGTTAATAGGGAACAGTGATAACCCCCCTCCCCGAAAGGGAAGAGGAAACTCCCCAAACCACCTACGCCCAGAGGGCTGGTGGGACTCGTCAAAGGCTTCCTGGTGCTCGTCAGGCAGGTCGTGCATGCGGCGCTGCCTCTTCTCCTCGTGCTACATGGGCCTCATGCTGAGCGGGTCGGGGAGAGCTTTGGCTCGGTCACGCGCAAACAAGTCACGGGGAAGAGCGAGATGCTTGTGCCATCTGTGCGTGCGCACTGCATTGACCTGGACCGAAACTCCACAATGTGTCTTCCAAGGGACAGCCACCTCGGGGATCATAGCGGCCTCGGGAAAATCCCTTGCTAACCAACCCATGATCATACATGCGCCCTGGCCCCTTATCGCAAGTGGCGGCGCAGGACGGCGTGCAAGTACGAACGCCCACCTTGTCTGGCTCAATATTCCTGTCAGCTAGCACGATCCACGGGTCGGCCAGAGCCCTGGTAAAAGACCCCAGTGCCACCAGCACGTCATTGTTCCAGCCCTTGACCCCAAAGCCAGGCTGGAGGTAGGCCGCGATCAGCACCAGGTTGCCGCCCTTGGTGTTCGAGACCGTCGGGACGAACCCGCAGCAGGTGACGGCCAGCAGCGCGGGCAGCAGTACGAGCGCTCTCAAAGCTAGTCGTCGCAATGTGCTTCTTAGTAAGACTCCATTCACCTCCAGAGAGCCCGCACTCCGACTTGCCTGACGGGCGAGCCGCCGAGAAAACGAACCTCGAGCCATCCTTGTCCAAGGAGGTGCAGATGTCGGGCATGGCATCCACCCCCTTGTGCGTTTCAACCGTCTCAACCAGGGCCAGCACGCTGCGCTCCTGCTCCTAGGGGAGGAAACGCGCGGTCTGCGGGCCCCACTCCGTGATGTTGCCGAAGAAGATGTCCAGGGACGTGCCGTCCTTGGGCTCATGCGGTACATAGTCGGCCGCTTCCTCACCCCCAGCGACAAGGGCGCGCCTGAGGATCAGGAAAAAGGCGGAGCGGCAGGAGCAGCAGGGCACTCAGGGAACGGCCCCTTGCCAACACCCTTGGCCTGCTTGGCCGCCTGCAAACACGTCTCAGCCAAGAACCTGGCGCGCATTTTCTTTTTCTCCTCCTCGGGGAAAGGCTTGGGGGCTGCCGAGGAGGCCGCTGCAGCTCCGCTGGGAGCCGCCTCTGCCGAGGAAGGCGGGGCACCCGGGGCGGAGTTGCCGTCCTCGTCGCGCCGCCTGCGCTTGGGCGCCGCCTGCTTGTGCGCCGCCCTGGCCTTGTCCAGCAGCACCTGGAACTCCTTCTGCTTGTCGCGCGCTTGCTTCGTGATGGTGTCGAGCTGCTTCTGGAAGGTCTCCAGCGCCTTCTTGTCATCGACGTCCAGCTCGTCAAGGGTCTCGAACAGCTCGCGGTCCACGACGAAGCATTGAGGCCGTCAGTGGACTTCGTGTCAGGCGCCGTGCCCAGCGCCTTCTCAGCCTGCAGGCGGTTGAATTCAGCCTCGACCATCTCGTCCGTCGCCAGCTCAAAGCGCTCGTTGGCACGCTCGAGGTGCCACCGGGCGGCCTCCACCTGCTTGGCAGCACGGTCGAGGGCCTCCTCTTGCAGGAGCTTTCGGACGAGGCCCCCTTGAGCACGGTGTATGCGGGCTTGCTGACCGCGGCGGGGACCTTCTTCGCGACCGCCAGGGACTGCACCGACGCCGGCCTCTTGGCCTCAGGGTCCGAGTCGATGCCAGCGACCTGCAGCACCCTTGCCATGGCATCCTCGAGGGACGTCGAGGTCGACGGCGGGGAAGCAGAGCGACCCCAGCCCGACGCACCAGCCTGCGAGGAAGCCCACGGCGCATACCACGTGCAACTCTGAGAGGACTGCCAGCCTGGTTGCACCGTGCCACGCACACCACAGGCACCACGCTGGCGCTTGAGGCTCCAGTCCCACGCCCAGCTGCCGCACGCCGACCACGTGGTGAACGCATGCTTGCCACGGCCCATGCGAGAGCGTTCCGAGGAGCAAACATCATTGCTCCAGCAGGAGCTCACAACGTCACTCAAACTGGCCGCGGACTAGCGGTATCCACGTTGTCCACAGGGGGACACAAAACTTTGAGCCAAAATGGCTACGTAGGAGGAGGGGGAGGAGGAGGAGGAGGAGGAGGAGGAGGAGGAGGAGGCGAGGATAATAATCAGGAGGGACGCGAAGGGACTATTCAGGAAGAGGAGGCGAAGGAGGAGGAGGACGAGGAGGAAGAGGGATCGGGAGGATGAAGGATGGACGAGGAGGATGGAGGAGAAAAGAGGAGGAGGAGGAGGAAGAGGAGGAGGAGGAGGAGGAGGAGGAGGAGGAGGAGGAGGAGGAGGAAGAGGAGGATACGAAGAAACAGGGACGAGGAGGGACTATGCAGGCAGAGGAGGAGGAGGAGGAGGAGGAGGAGGAGGAGGAGGAGGCGGAGGCCCCCTGCTGGAGCAGGTGAGCCTCGCCTGGGGGGTGTAGTGTACCCGCCGCTCGCCTGGGCGGCGGGGGCGTTGGCTCCCGGGCTCCGTCCACCCCGAGCCACTCGCCGTCGAATGCCGGCGAACACCCCGGTGGGGGGAGCGGCTGTCGTGGCGGAGCGGACGGCAGCACGGCCGGCTTCTCCACCAAGATGGACGAGGCAAAGAGGTACTCCGGCCGAAGACCCGACTGCTTGGTGGAAGCAGTTGACGATCGAACACTTGTCGCCGAGCCGGGTAGCCTGGTAGACCTGCTTGTGGTGCTCGCAGAGGCAGACCGTGGCGTTCTTGCCGTCGACCGGGGGGGGCAGGTCCGAGGCTTGGCCGTCCTCCCAGAGCAGCGTCATGGGGGTCGTGTCGGCAGCGTCGCGGCACCCACCTGGGGCCAAGGGCCTCATCGCGCCCTTGATGAGGACGCCCACCTTGACGGCCTCGCAGGGACGCTCCTCGATCTCGACCTCAGACTCGGATTCTTGATCCAGTAGTTCTGCCACTCCCCCAGCTACGCCTGGCTCCGCTGCGCCTGCCGATTCACGGCGGCGGCGGCGCCGGCGGCTGCAGCGCCCGCAGCAGCAGGCCAAGTAGAAGAAGTACATCACGCAGGTGACGAACAGGCGGACTCCACTGGTGAGGGTCCGCCCTGTGAGGACGCAGAAGCGGCAGGGGGTCAGCCGAGCGTGCGCGCCGATGTCGACGATGGCCGCCGAGTCGAGGGCCGCGTACTCCACGCAGTGGAGCTCCTTCTCGCCCTGGGGTTGGCAGTCCCCGCAGCGGCATAGGTGCACCCACTTCCCCTGCTCGAGCTTCTGCCTGAGGGCCCTGCTGCTCGCTCCCTTGATCTTGTTGTACTGGACCCAGAGCCCCTTCTTGCCGACCCGCTCCAGCTCGTCGAAGATGAGTCCGACCCGCGCCACGTGCCCGTCTAGCTTCACGAGAAGGTCGACGACCGTGATGGGCTGTGGCGACGCCGGCGGCAGAAGGCGATCCACCTCTGCTTCGCCAGGCGGCTTACGCGCACAGCAGCAGCACGCACGGCAGAGGCCGGCGGCTGCTCCGATGACCCAGCACACCCAGGCGCACGGCGCGAAGATGGTCCGCAGGTTGTGCGCCGCAAGGGCGAGCATGCCAGTGCAGCACAGGGTGATGAGGGTCCAGCCGACGATGGGCCAGGCCGCGCCAAACAGGCGCACGCCGCAGCTGTCGGTCAGGTACAGGACCCAGCCGCCGTCGGAACGCAGCCAGCCGGTATCCTGTTGGGTCGAGAAGGCGCCTTTGAGGTTCTCAAACGAGTCTGCCCAGCCCCCCATCCCTTCGGCCTTCCAGGACCAGGTGTGGTTCCCCAGGTTCTCCCAGCTGAGGTAGCCCAGGCCCCACCCCCCAATCCAGGAGGTGTCTGAAGTGCCGTTGGGGGAGGGAGGCTGGGTGGCGTCCTTCCTGGGCGGGGCGGCTGGCGGCGCAGGGGGGACGCCAGGCGGAACAACCCCCGCCGGCGGCAACCCATGCTCGCCTGACCCTGACCCCGCTGGGACCCCGGGGCCCCCTATCATTGGGCTCCCGCGATACCCCTTCCGCAACTGGGGGTGGTGGTCCTCGTCGTCGTAGTACGACGGGCCGTAGTCCCCCAGTGTCTGCGGGGTGGGCCAGCCCGCGGCCGTGGCCAGCAGCGCGGCGGCCCGCAGCAGCGCGCGGCTGGGGGTCCCCGGCGCCGCACGCCGCTGACCTCCCTTCCGCGCGCGCCTAGCCACGGCCGGCAGCGGCAGCCCAGCTGCCCCCCAGCCGAGGGGCGCCCCGCGCAGCGACATGGCGCGGCCGCGCTCGGGCGCTCCCGGGTCACCCCGGGATCTTTCGGGCTCCCGGAGTGGGCCTCCGGAACGCCCTGGCCTGGGCCACCTGAGGCCGGCCCCCAGCTTGGCCCAGAAAGGCTAGAGCCCCAGAGGGGGAAGCGGGAGAGAGCAGGCAGAGGCAGGAGCAAGGACAGGGGAAGACGGGCCCCCGCATTCCTGGGGTCAGGGAGAGCCTAGCGTTTGACCAAACAACTAAGAGGGAGAGGGATGATGATGGATGAACGAGGAGGATGGAGGAGGAAGGAGGGAGGAGGGAGCAGGACGTCGACATCTTCTGGGTGAAGTCCAAGAAGCCTCCCTGGCCTCCGCTGCCTGGCAGGAAGCCAGAGGATGTCGTGCAAGTCAGGCGAGTCTGGGGCGATCTTGCAAAGAGTTCGCTGTTGTTGTCGTTGTCCTCCTGTTTCCCTTCCCCCTCCTCCACCCTCTCCCCCTCCTCCCCCTCCTCCCTTTGCTCTCCCTCCTCCCCCTCCCCCTCCCTCCTCTCCTTCCCCTCCTCTCCTTCCCCTCCTCCCCCTCTTTCGCCGTTCACGCCGTTTTCGTCGTCGTCGTCGTCGTCGTCGTCCCTCCTTTATTCAAGAGGCTTACGCCATTCCGCCGACCCCCAGAACAAGCATGGAGTCCACGGTTGATGCGTCGAGGGCTTCTGGGGCTTCATGCGTGATTATTCCCCATATCCTAAGATGGGGTTCTTGTTGTTACTTGGACGCCTCCTACTCCTTATTCCTCTTCCTCTTCTTTTTCTCCTCCTCCTCCTCATACCCAGATTTACTCATACACAGACTTACTCATACACAGACTTACTCATACTCAGACCTACTCCTACTCATCGTGAGGATGTCTCAGGCTGGGCGCTGGTTTCAGCACCCCTAAGGGGAGCCGCCGAGGGGTATGACACGGTCCCGTTCGCGGCCGTTTTGTGGGGATGTCTCCAGCGGTTTGCATGTTTTCTGTCCCAACATGCTTCGGTTTCGGAGCAGATTTGGAGGATGTCTTGAGCGAGGCGCTCATTTTCACGCCCCTAAGGGGAGCCGCCGAGGGGTATGACACGGTCCCGTTCGTGGCCGTTTTGTGGAGATGTCTCAGGCGGTTTACTTGTTGTCTGTCCCAACATCCTTCGCTTTCGGAGCAGATTTGGAGGATGTCTCGAGCGAGCCGCCCATTTTCACGCCCCCAAGGGGAGCCGCCGAGGGGTATGACACGGTCCTGTTCGCGGCCGTTTTGTGGAGATGTCTCCAGCGGTTTGCATGTTTTCTGTCCCAACATCCTTCGTTTTCGGAGCAGATTTGGAGGATGTCTCGAGCGAGGCGCCCATTTTCACGCCCCTAAGGGGGGCCGCCGAGGGGTATGACACGGTCCCGTTCGCGGCGGTTTTGTGGGGATGTCTCAAGCGGTTTGCTTGTTTTCTGTCCCAGCATCCTTCGTTTTCGGAGCAGATTTGGAGGATGCCTCGAGCGAGGCGCTCATTTTCACCCCCCAGGTGGGCCAGATTTTGAGGATGTCTCGTTCGGTTTGCTTGTTTTGGCAGCCAGACTCGTGGGCACAGGTTCTCGTCAGGATGCCACAGGATGCTCCAACAGGCTCCAGGAGGCCCCTGGGGACCACATGAGGTCCCAGGAGGCATCAGGAGGCCACAGAAACACTCAAGAGGCCACAAGATGTCCCAAGAGGCTCCAGGAGGCCCCAGGAAGCTCCAGGAAGCCTCAGGAAGCCACAGGAGGCCACAGGAAGCGCCAGGAGACTTCGGAAGGCAACAGGAGGCCCCGAGAGGTCCCAGGAACAGGAGGCCTCAGAAGGCAACAGGAGTGGCTCCAATCCCATGTGTTTTACGTATGCTCCTATAGATTGGGCCTCACCTGGAGAATGAAGCTTTGACGTTATACGTACCTATACGACCACCCTGCGGGTGATAAGGAGGTGAGGGGGGAGGGGGAACCAACCTATCACTCAATCGATCTCGCTATCGATCTCACAATCGATCTCTCATTCGATCTCACTATCGATATCACTATCGATTTAGCTATCGATCTCACTATCGATCTCACAATCGATCTCACAATCGATCTCACATTCGGTCTCACATTCGGCCTCACTGTCGATCTCACGATCGATCTCACAATCGATCATCACCATCATCACCATCATTATCTCACAATCGATCTGACGATCGATCTCACAATCGATCTCACTATCGATCTCACAATCGATCTCACATTCGGTCTCACTATCGATGTCACAATCGATCTCACAATCGACGTCATCATCATCATCAACAACAACACCAACATCATCATCATCATCATCATCATCATCATCATCATCATCATCATCATCATCATCATCATCACCATCATCATCATCATCATCATCATCATCATCATCATCATCATCATCATCATCATCATCATCGCCATCATCATCATCATCATCATCATCATCATCATCATCATCATCATCATCATCATCATCATCATCATCATCATCATCATCGGGACACCGACGGGACACCGACGGGACACCAGCGGGACACCGTCGGGACACCGCGCGCCACCGGCCGACACATTTGGTCCGGCCGCGCCTCAGCCACAGGGACACCGACGGGACACCAGCGGGACACCGGCGGGACACCGCGCGCCACCGGCAGCCCGGCGGAGAATCATTTGGTCCGGCCGCGCCTCAGCCACAGGAGACTTTCCTCTCGCCCGCCCACGCAGCTTCGCCTCGCCCGCACGGCACGCACGAACACGAAACCGAAATCGATTTCCCGGTAGGGGGGCTCTCCGTCCCACTTCGATCTCACCCCCTCACCTCCGATGTTTATATAGACTGTCTTTCTCCTGTGAAAACAATCCTAACTGTTTTACTTATGTTCCTAGATGTTGGGCCTCTCCTGGGGCACGAGTCCTTGGTGCTTTACGTGTGTTCCTATATATTGCCCTTCTCCCGTGGCTCCAATCCGTAATGTTTTACGTACGTCGGTCACTCTCCAAGGGCACGAAGCCTCCCTGGGAGGACCCAGGAGGCCCCAGGAGGCCCCAAGAGGCTCCTGGAGGCCCCAGGAAGCCCCAGTAGGTTTCAGGAGGCCCCAGGAGGCCCCAGGCTCATGCGCAGAGACGCGCTCGTACTACTGAGGCTCATTCACACTCCAATTCATTCGCAGTTAGATTCATGACCAGACCACCACAACTGAAGCCCGTCTATATTCGAAAGCTCTTGCGCCTAGACGCTCGCGGCGGACAGGTCCATACGAATAGATGCACATATGGGGAGCTCCACGCAGTGAATAATTGTTGGCGTCTTGGGAGCTGCTGGGGGGCGTGGCGGAGCCTCTTGGAGGCTGTTTTTGGGGCCGCTTTTGGGCCTCTTGTGGGCCTCTTGGGGCTCATTGGGGGTCTCTTCTGGGCCGCTTGGGAGCTTTTTGGGGCCTTTGGGCGCCTTCTTGGGGCGGAAAGATTGGATTGTTGGTTCGTGTTCTGCATCTTCGCCTCTCTTGGGGCCCTCTTTGGGCGATCGTTGGCCGTCTGGGGCTCCTCTTTGGGCCGTCTTGGAACCCTATTGGGTTGTCCTGAGGCCCTCGTGGGCACCTTTTGGGCAGTTTGGGGGCGGTCTAGGGGGCCTCTTGGGCCGTCTTGGAGCGTCGGAAGCTCGAGAAGACGATAACCCCAGAAACATTGAAACACCCAAGGGGAACCATTGCGTTTTTCCTTTCGGGGCCCTCTTGGGACGGCTCTTGAGTCTGACCGTAGGTCAGAGGGCTGGGTAACATGTAAGCGAGCGTAGCGAGCGTCTGCGCCGCCGTTTGTTGTTCAAGCGGCCGGCGCCTTATTTGCCCGGATCGTAAGCTCAGCTATCGATCCGCTTTTGTATCGGAAGCGAGTCTTACTTCTGGAAGATAGCGTTCCACATTATTTTTTACCACCAATACCACATCTCACGATGTCTACCTCGTTTGTTGCTTGGTAGCGAAACTGCCCTCACTCGCGTGTGGTCAGCTCTGTCTCTCGCACTCTTACGCCACGGCGCGGCATGGTATGCCGCTAGTACCACTGCATTGTCAGAGCGTCAGAGCGTGACTACTGGCTAGCAGGCGGGGCCGTCAATAGCGGGAACGCTATTTCCATAATTTGTGACGCCCGCCTGATTACCAGCAACAGCGCATACGCCACGGCTCTACGCCACTACGCTCCGATTCATAATGTGTTGGGGAACAAATTACTATATCAACTACGCGTGCGCAGGAATGCTTCACCATTATGGACTACGGCCCAACATGGAAGCATTATGTGAAGCTTTTTGACTGGGTATTGTCCAGTTATACATCGGTTGTGCTTTTGGTTACATACGCCTTTGTAATCACAGCGACGGAGGTGACAACACCACCGGGGGCCCTGGCTGGGACCCCGCGGGGGGCGTATCTTTTCTCGAGTTCACTTCAGGCGTTCATGTGTGGCTTCATGCCACTAGCGCCCGCATAACACCACAACAACTGGCTGTTTGCCTGCAGCGTGGGCTACGTGGGTTAGCTCGCACTATCGCGATGCGGATCCCATTGCAGATCGTTAGCTACGGCGTAGGTAAACAAGGAACCCACATGTACCTTGTCATACGTACATATATATATATATATATATATATATTATGTTTCTCCCTAGCGCCAAGCTCGAGAACCTCGAGGATGAGCGCCAGCTCGCTTCAGGAACGGCGCTTGCCATTTTCAGGCCCTAGCCCGGCGAGAGAACGGATTCTATTCTCGCTCGGTTCGGGATTGCTCGTCTTGAAGCCGTTTCCGTAGGTTTTGCCATCCCGAGTTTACAGTTACTCATTACAATGCTTTTCAGAGAGTTACGGTGCGGCCCTGGCAGAGCTGCTCAATTATTTAATCGTTTCGCTCATTCCGCCAGCCCTGGAGCGCTCTGTGGGGCCTCTTGGGGGCCTCTTGGGGGCCTCTTGGGGCTCTTTGGCGGCGTCTTGGGGGCCCCTGGGGCCTCTTGGGGGGCTCTTGGGGGCCTCTTGAGGCGGGAGGGGGAGGTAGTCGATTGCGGCCCCCCCCTGGGAGGCCACGATCCTCGTGAGGGGTGTCGAAAAATGGCCCTCCCCTGGAGCTTTCTGGGGGATCCTGGCCGGGGATCGCCCGGGGATCGGTCGGGGTACTTTTCGTCCGGGGACCCCCAGGGGCCGCCACGCGCGCGCGCGAAGTAAAATATTGTTTGACAGTTCCCGGAGATCTTAGCACGCCTCTGGCCCGCTGGGCCGGCGAATTTCAACCATTGAATGGTCAAATTCTACGTGCACAGCAGCAATGTGATGAGCTGCTGGGCCGTGTGCGCAGCTAGCTTCGGTCACTTGGCC